TTACTAAAACCAAAATGGAAATAAAAAATAAATTCAATCTAAACAGAAATTAAAAAGAATAAAAAACTTTCAGAATTACTCAAATTAATTAAAATTAATAAAACTTAAACAAAAAAAGAAAAGAAAAGTTAAATCAAAATATTAATGAATCCTAAAATAATACTAAAAAAACACCGGAAACGATTGAGATTCAGGTTGAACTATAACAGCAAATCAAAAAATCCAACCAGAACTGTGCTCTAAAATAACATATCACCGTAAATACGGTTAAAGCCCCGTTTGCACTGACTGCGAATAAACAGCCTGAGACGTTTCTGTGATGTTGGTTGCTACAGCAGCCATTTCTATTGTAGCATCCAACTATATCACGTGATCAAATTCTACACTCCCACTAGTTGTCGCTGCATAGAATCTCTGCTCATTTACATAAAGTTGAACTCTCAGAAATCAAGAGATCAAACAAAAATTTATAACTTTTTTGTTGTTGTTGCTGTAAATCCCTGTTAGTGTGAAGTACACTCTTGGTGACCCTGAAACCAAAATATGCTTATTGATAGAACATTTACACGTTTCCTCTAGCTCTTTCAATCAATGTTACATACTGCTCAGTAAATCACAGTGACACAGTGACTCACAAAAGATGACCTTAACTGCTTACATAAGAAAGCAATACTACCTTATTTATATTACACTCTAAACAAGATCTATTACCAACACCATTTCAAATGCTCAAATGTTCAACCACGTAAAAAAAAAAAACCCATACAACTCTTCACCCCTTCAGTCAAAGCAGAAATCACACCAGCCGTTGGAGCTCAAGGGACCACATTGCTGCCCTCCTATGACAGGCTGGGATTAAGGAATACATTTATAATTTATGATTGGGTTTCCACTTACACTGCCTTTTAAAAGTTTGGGGTCAGTAAGATTTAAAAAATAGATAAAATAAATTAACAAATGTATTTAGCAAAGATGCATTAAATTGGATTTCTTTCAAATGAATACTCTATTGAATTTTCTATTCATCAAAGAGTCCCGAAAAAAGCATCATAGCAGCACAAATACAAAGTTCTGTAGATGGCACAGGCGTATCCTTAACTCAATCTGCTTGCAATCATATCTTTCTCTATAGGGCACAGCTGATTGGTTCACTTCCTGCTGTATCAGTAGCCAATGAGCTCGCTGATCAAACTTGATCAGCATTTGCTATAGCAGTGCAGCGCGCTTTCAGACACCCTCCACCTTCCCCAGCTCCACCTGTATAGATGTGAATTTATGTATGCTATTTTTGTACAGCAACAGCATGTCTTACTTGCTCACAGTGTGTCATAGTAGTCCTGTACTTGCTCTGCAGCAGCAGTGTAGCAGATCTATTCTGCCAAGACCAAATATATCAACATTGTCATACCCATTACCATGGCAAACACTCCGAGAGTTGTCATGACAGAACCGTTCTCAAGATTGATAATAATAATAAATGTTTCTTAAGCATTAGGATGATTTCTGAAGGATCATGTGACACTGAAGACACGAGTAATGATGCTGAAAATTCAGCTTCGATTACATGGAATACATTACATTTTAAAATATATTAAAACAGAAACGTTTATTTTTTAATTTCACAATATTACTGTTTTGAGTAATACCTACTCCACACTTTTGAATGGGTTTGTAGTTTTTTGTAGTTTACAATGTATATGTGGGCGATTCTTCGATTAGTCTTTTGTCTTTAAATCTTGGAAAATAAATCTATTTCTATATCTTCTATCTGTCATCTAGGTTATAACATTTATCACATGAAATAAATCTCTGATCATGGTTTTGGTCAACATTTTTTTTTTTTACTTGTTAGAAAAAGTGCAAAGTAGACGTTCCCTGATTGTAATACTTTTATTCAGATGATTTAAAAGTCAATCTCAAAACAGAAATGAAGAAAAAGTGATTAAAAGATCCTTTCCATAATTTAAGGATCACTCATTTTTATTTAACCTCCTATTTAAAGTCACACTATAGTATGGACTGGGTTTTTGTCAAACTTATAGAAAGAACAAAAAAAGGTAGTACAGACTGCAGAAGTCCTCAGAGAAACGAGAGATTGAGTAAACAGCTGCACTTTCCCGCGAGTTCTGCAGCAGCACAGTGACTCAAGTCATACAAGTCATGCAGAGATTGTGCAACATCTTTGAGATCATATGATTTCAAATGACAGAAGAACAGCAATTCACAACTGTCTAAAGAGTAACCAGACAGTAACCAAAAAAAGGTGAGGGACAGAGAGAGAGAAAGAGAGAGAGAGCAGAGACAGAGATGGTGACTGACCACGGTCTGCTGGTATCTCAGAGCCTTCCTTTGCGACGCATCTGCAGCCATTGACACACTGTCACTGACCCAAAAATAAACCGCCTGTCTGTCTTAGCATTCCCACCCTGGGGTGGCACGGACTGAGGGAGAGAGGGCACGCGCAAGTTCTCTCGCTCGATCTTCCTTTCCTGTTTTACACATGCACAGATCTCCCTCTCACACACCTTCTCATGTGGTGCAACACAGCAGTCCAAGTTGCCTAACTAAGCTCCGTGTGCATACATGGGTTTATGAGGACGAGCATGTGCTTGGGGCACGTATATGCGTTTGTGTATGTGTGTGAGAGGTTGTGAGTTACAAAGAGAGCGTAGATGCCAAACTAAACCCATCCACCCCTTAATTAGTGAGGCCGGTTTGTTTAATACTGGCCGATACTGTCACCCCAGGCAACAAACTAAGACTATGATCACCTGTTCATTTGGAAAGAGGCACAGTAAGGGTTTGAGCAGCCGAGGGAACTCCCCGTCCCCCATGAAACATGATGAGGGGAGTACAGGGAGGACCAAATCGGCCAATGTCATCTCCGATTCGCCATTTTCATCAGTGATGTTCACACGGACATTAAGCAACACAGTTAATGACACAAGCAGACAGTTTTAGCTTTGAATAATCTGGATAAGAGGACAAGAAGAGTATAACATTTATAAAACTGTTAGCATCTAATTGTTATGGTTTTGAATAATACTGCCACAAAGTTCAAAATATGTTCTTGATTATGTAGGCTGTAGTTGTCATGAACTGCCAGTTTAGCTTTCATTCTCATGGACTTTTAGGGTACGTTTACACGACAACGATATGCTTAAAGTAATACCAGGGAACTTTTGCTCTCGGGGTGGGGTCCCCCTACAGTTGGGAAACAGTATTGTCCTCTAGACCTCTACTACTGTCGTAAACTCTGTCATCCTACATGCACGTGCAATTGTTGACAACCATGATAGCCCTGAACACTGTAGGAGGAGGTCACATGCAGGTGTTCTGCTTGCGTCGCATGTGAAATGTCTTCATCCCAGGTACAGTGGCATATATTTCAGCATGTCATATGAATATAATTTCATGGGTTTTATTTTTTTTCTAACGACAAATGATCGCGATGATCACGTTTACAAGCCAGCATCATTATAGTAGCCTAGTCTATTGGTTGCCGTTTTACTGAATCTATATGATACTTCAAAGCAATGTTTGAGTGGTTGATAATAACCATATATCGTCAATATTATAATATCAAGCTACCATAAATGAATCTGCAAATTTTACAAATCGATTTGCATTATAACTTGAGGCAAGACAAATAAACAAATATCACAGACATGTTAGGTATCCTAAAATATGATTTTGTACATCTTATATATTTACTTGCAAGAATGTAGCCCCTACCAAACTTGTGCACGCCGTTTAGACACAGGCTTTCATTTGATTTTTTTTTTTGCCAAGTCCGCATCGGTCGGGCACCCCTCCTCCTCCTTCAGCTCACGCCAGCGAGAAAATGCTGGCCCAATGTTGATCCTCGTTCTGCCTTTAACGCGATCACTTTCTCTTTTTGCTTTGCTCCGATAAAACCTTTACTTTCTTGTTTTTCTGTGCTGCTTCGGCCATGACTATAACATTTGGCTCGCACGTCCGATTTTAAGGAAGTGGGGGTGGTGGTGGAAGTGACGTATATGCCGTAAAGCAGTCGAATTTTGTAGTTTTTCCTTTGAAAAACGAAGTGTCCATTGTCAAAACAATCCCCATTCACACAGACCCGCAAAAACGACTAAAAACGCTGTTTTCTGCTGCCAGGCCATTAGATGGCGATGAAACACTATAGACTGAACACGTAATAAGCATGTGCACAACGTCATCGTCTTCAGAGATTCGCGTTTTTGTAGTTTACACGGAGACCGTTTTCAAAAACTTGCACGAAACCCGTTTTCAAAAGTTTACGTTTTCAGGCATGCACCCAAAACGCCGTTGTCGTGTAAACGAACGGCCAAAATGCATAAAAGTTTTACGTTTTTAGTTGAAAACATTTTCGTGTAAACAGCTCCTTAGTTTGCTTATCATGATTTCCTGTTGTCTTTGTTCACGTTTCGCGTGTTCAAGTTACTTTGTTTCCTCGGTTCTTGGTCGGTTGTTGTTTGTGTCTGTTGCACAGGCTGGAGTTTATTTTATCATTAAATCACTTAGTATTTGGAAACTGTCTGACTCTTCGTCATCTTTGGATCTTCATATTGTATAACAGAAAATAATGATAAGCACACTAAAATTCCATGAGAATGAAAATAGCTTGTGACAATAGTAGTACGCCGTAAAAATTTGGAGTACGTTTGACAAGAAAATACTATTTCAGTCTTTCTAATTCAAAATTTCACATTTAATTCAATGTGTTACTTGTCGTAACTTTGTAAATAATTGTGAAATTTACTAGCAAGTGTGTGTAAACATTCCTTGAAAGAAATCATACTGTCCACAATAATGAATTTTTTTTTTTTTTAAATGGTTTTAGTTCTAAACATTAGTTCTAAACATTTTACAAGATACCATATCATAAGCTGTCTATGGTACAGTGATGGATGGCAGAAACTCAGGTGAAGGCGGAGCTTACAGAAACAGCTGTAGGGTGTGGGTGTGGCAGCAAGAATTTAAGCAATTGACTCACAGCAAGATGAACAGCACTTGCAGAACATGAAGACATACAGTAGGACAGAGAAAATGATACTTTGGGAATAAAACACGGCAAAAACAGCCTATGACAAGAAGAAAAATGACCAAGTTTGGAAAATGAGAAATAGTTCCATTATTCTTCACACACAGAGATGACATGTAAGTTCATTGTTGTGTTTATAATATATATTACAGTAATATGCATAAATTATTTAACAATATACTGCATTATATATGTGTGAAAACGTATAACACTCAAAAGAGTTAGAGGATTGACTGGTCAGTAAATTAAGCTTATCTACATTTTCACTGGTTTAATTCTAGTGCAATTAAACCAAGAATTGAAATCCACTTTATCCTGAGCTCACATTCACCTTTGTACGTGATAGACTTTGTGGTGCGTCTATGATGTAAAGACAGCAATGCAGAGGAACAGGTTGAGTGACAGTCTGGTAGTCTCATACACAAGCTGAAATGCCACAGAAAGTATGTTCTGACAAAGTATGATAAATAGTAAGAGTGCAAGGCATGACCTTGTCACAATGTTTTTTATTAAAAAAAAAACTGTAGAGGTACATTGATGTTCTGCATGTGTCTGGCAGTTTTATCTTTTAAGCTTTCATTGATCACACATTTCATTGTTGTGACGACCAGTTTTTTTCTTCATTTTTTCATGCCAGTGTTATTTATAGAGGCAAAAGCTGTCATGATTTAATTGTAACAAATATGTAGCTGCTCAAATAGGATGGAACTCCATAACTGCTTATACTGTATATTTAATTGCTGAATAAATGTCAGATATGCACAAATTAACCAAATTTAGCTTTAAGACTGAAATTAAAAAGCATTGTGAAAACATACAAATGACTTGCTCACAATATATACACACTAGCAATGCATAACATTTTCTGCGAAACATGCATCAAACCACATGGTTAATCAATGTCGAACATTTACAGTCTGGTTTTATGTCTTTCAAAGAGAGCTGCCAAACTGAAGACATGTACTGCATGATTATGCCAAATGTTATCCTTACACTCATAAAACCCATAAGCTGATGCATATGAATAGTGTTGCACTTGAATTGCTGGATATCAGTTTACATATAGTGTTTTGAAGTAGGTGCTTTGCCATATCTCATTAATGGTGGTAATTTTTTTTTTGTTTCCTTTTTACAGAATGTCTATTTCAACCAACACAACATATCCATGCATACCAGGCTCTCTCTGTGGTAAGTGATGTGCTAGGTGCAATTGATTAGTTTTAGTCTCTCTCTGTACACTACCATTCAAAAGTTTAGTGTCAGTAAGATTTATTTTTTAAAGAAAATAATGTTTATTTAGCGAGGGTGCATTAAATTGATCACAAGTAACAGTGACGTTGTCACGGTGTGGTTGAAGCTATAGGAGGAAGCAGGATCCACATGCAGCACACTTTATTCAATAAACTGAAAACTTCACAAAGACTCAGACTAGGAACAGGAACAGGGCATCCAACATCAACAGGAACAACACAAGAACTCACAAGGACTGGACTAAAACACAGGGCTTAAATACAAGGCCAAACAAGCTAAACAAGATAACAAGGGGGCGTGGTATACATGAACACAAACGAGAAGCGGGAACACTGTGAACAGGACTGAACCAAAAGCACATAGACAGGGGGAACAAAGACAGACATTACAACAGACGTCTTGGTTACGGACACAGCGACCCCATTGATTTCAACGGAGAAAATTGAAGCCCGTTAAAAGCTGATAGCCAGGCGTACTGCACAGGCTCAAACTGAGCCTGTCACGTGAGCAACCTGTATGTCTTCTAGTAGCTGTGCCGAGTAAAATCTGAATAATTCCCTTCCGAATCTCACAGAGACGGAGAGACTGAGTATTAGCAGCCCGTTCTCACGGCAATTCGTACGAATTTTACGAGGTGGCTAATTGGTACTAATTCATACGACCTCACTCGTACAAATTCGTACGATTTTAGCTAATTCGTACATATTTTACGAGTTACCAAATTCGTATGAATTCGTACGAATGACCAACTCCTGACCCCACCCCTAAATCTACCCATCACGTGGGTTTGGACAAATCGTACAAATTCGTACGAGTGAGGTCGTATGAATTAGTACGAATTAGCCACCTTTTAATCACTCGTACGAATTCGTACAAATTGGTCGTGAGATAGCGTTGGTATTAGCTGTCCATGAGCTAGCAGCAGGATCAACTTTATGACTCTCTATTGGCTTCTCCCTCGACTTTATCGGACTTTATGCCTCCACGTCCCCCCGATTGCCTGCGAGCTTCTCCTCCTGTCTATACTGTAATTTCTCTACTGTGCGACGGAGAGTTGATTCGTTATGACGCAATCGTTAGCCTATTTTTTACAAAAACTGCTTCTACGGGGCCATAGCGTAAGATACAACACTGTAAAAAATGATCGTGATTTTAACGGTAAAACACTGTAAAAATGCTACAGTGAAAAACTGTTAATTGGTTAACAGAAAGTTTCCTTATTATATACGGTAAATAACTGTGATAACGGTACATTTAATTTAATTTTACTGTAAAATACCGTTAAATTTACAGTTTTTGGAAGTGAAAAAGAACAAGTCATTGTATAATTTACAGTGAAAAAATGTAAATTGACATTCCCACAATTCCCTGCGTGACACTTCACATTTGATGTATTTTGTTTTTAAATCACTGTTTCTTCATAATTTTCTTAGTTTTTTTCTAATCAGTTATGTACATTAGGGTTTTATGTTACATTTAATGTTGTTAAATTAATGCTTATTGCATTTTTTAAATTTCAACATGTTACCATGATGGTGTTTAATGTTTGTGTGAATGACACTGTGCAGCTTCTGTATATTAGTATTAACTCTCTTGTGGATGAGCTGCTTATGTTGAGCTTTGGTTGACCATTTGACTCTCATCACTGCTGTGATTGTTGGCTGTCAGTGTATTACAATGGAAAAAAACAGATATTAATACTTCAAAAGGTCAGTATATTAACATTATATAAGATAATGAAATACGGATTATCGCTGTAAAATTATATACGGTTAAAAGTTGTAAAACCTAAAACGTTGCTACCGTATTTTTAACAGGAAAACTCTGGTAACCACAGCTGCCAGGGTTTTCCTGTAAATTTAACGTTTTTTTTTTACAGTGAAGGTAATGGAGCCTTTTATACATTGTCGTGTTTCTTTAGAAATAAATATTGGACAAATGGAGTCTTTGGACGCCTCAGATGTAAAGTTATTCGCTGTCAAAGTGACGCCAAAATGAATGGGAGTCAATGGAATGCTAACAGCAGGTGAAGTTCTTGCATGCGTATTACGCAGAGGTGTAAAGTCCAAGTGATTGGACTTTTACTTTCTGAACCTGGACTTTACACCTCTGGTATTACGTGTTCAGTCTATAGCCGCATAGTGACATCGTTTTCGCAAACTCATGTGAACGGGGATTGTTTTGACAATGTTGTTGTCTGTACGTGAAAAACGCAAAGGAAAAACTTCTCTGTATTGAGTACATTGTTGTCATGTAAATGTACCCTATGTGTCACAGCCATCTTTCAGAAAGGGACCTGACTAATCTAAGGGTCCGTTTCCATGCCATTTTCAACTAAAAGCAGGAAGCTTTTTATGCATTTTGCCCATTCATTTACACAACAACAGTTTTTTGGGGGGCTGAAAATTGCAAACTGTTGAAAACGGGTTTCAAAGTTCAAGTTTTTGAAAATGATACCGTTATTGTCTCTGTGTAAATGAATTTGTGAAAACAGTTGTGTTCAGTCAATCGGCGCGTAGTGTTTCTTTACAAAGTGACCTTGCCGATTACTGGCCTGGCAGCATAATACAGCGTTTTTATTTCTTTTCGTGGATTTGTGTTGACGGGGATCGTTTTGTCATCCGTACGTGAAAAAAGCAAAGGAAAAACTTTTCTGTTTGTAGTACATCATTGTAGTACATCAATGTGGTGTAAACACCCTTAAACTAGAGATTTAAAAACTCATCATTTACACCAAATGCATAAAAAGAGCACTGTGATGTCATTGGTGTAGAGAGCAAGTGGGAGGAGACTAGAGCAATCAAGTTTGAGAGGGTGATCAGGTGTCCAATTACATAACACACCCTCAACTCTATCTGTGACCAAAACATGCCAGCACACAACACACAAAAAATCCAGCTTTCTAATCCCATTGTGTTTCTATTTTCCTTGCAGAGGTACTTTTTTATGAAGTGGAACTGATCGTCATTCCAGTGCTATTTCTCGTGGCCTTTCTTGCCACGCTGATCATTTTATTTGTGGTCAAATGCTCCCATAAGCCATCACAACTTTATGGACACCACAGAAATGAAAAAGATGACACACAACACCATTATAACACATACAGCCACCGTAACAGCAACAGACGGCACCTGCAAGGCATTGATGGTAGCTACGGCATCTGACTTTGTTATATACACCATATACTCAAGTCGTTGTATTCTGTTTATTTAAAGGTCTTCCGTTTCATGCATGATTGCAATGTTTATTTATAAGCCTTCCTGACCATGCATGAACCCTATTTTTATTTAAAGGGCTTTCCCTTTATGAGTGATCGCAATGTTTATTAATAGATTATCTAGTTCATTAATTATCAAACTGTTTATATACACAAGTCTCAATATACACCAAATTCTTTTAACAATTTTTTCATCTCTTAAACTTTTGATTTACTTTGCAACAACAGCTCCGGCTGAGCTGAACCCAATGGAACATGAGATTATTCCCATGACAGCCCAACCTCACCATGATATGCAGAATCCCCAGCCTGCAGTACCTCAGGACACCACTGTGAGGCATCCGGGCACCTTCCAGATGGTCTCTCCACTCGCCCCCACCTTCTCAGTGAAACAGGACAACTTCACTTTGCACAGAGCTGTCATGGACAGCCAGCCAGTCATTTTACGAATGCTTAAAGGTAAGGTTGGATCAGTGTTATTCTAGTATCATTTATAAACTATTATAGTCTGGATTCATATTTTTAGTTTTCATTTCAATTTTAGTTTAGGTTTTAGTCATTTTATATTTGATATCATTTTTATTCGTTTTTATTAGTTGTCCAGGTATGTCTGTCTGATCTGACCTTTAATATTTTTTTTTTAACTAAGTCTCAATCATCTAGTGAAATCAAATCAAATCAAATCACCTTGTAGAGTAGTCAGGCCACTGATCATGGGGTCGGTCATTTTAAGGGCTGTCTAAATTGCAAAATCCTTCCAGTGCACTGAAACATTCACTCCTTGAAAAAAGTCCCACAATGCACCATGAAAACCAGAGAGCATCGATGCTCACTATGTTTAGAATGTTGCTGGTTTGATTCTCTAAATGGATGCAGAATGGAGGGATAGACAGACAAGACGATAGATAGATAGATAGATAGATAGATAGATAGATAGATAGATAGATAGATAGATAGGTAGATAGGTAGATAGGTGGACATAGATAGGTGGATAGATGCAGAGAGATAGATGGACAGAGAGATAGATGGATAGATGGACAGAGAGATAGATGGATAGATGGATGAACAGAGAGATAGATGGACAGAGAGATGGACAGAGAGATAGACAGATAGATATATAGATGGACAGAGAGATACTGTATATAGATGGATGGATGGATAGATAAATGGACATAGTGACAGATATGTAAATAGATAGATAGATGGACAGAGATATATGGATAGATGGACAGAGAGATAGATAGATAGAGAGATGGATGGATTGATGGACAGATAGATAGAAAGATTGACAGAGAGATCGATGGACAGAGAGATCGATGGACAGATAGACAGACATACAGATAGATAGATAGATAGATAGATAGATAGATAGATAGATAGATAGATAGATAGATAGATAGATAGATAGATAGATAGTTTATGTATTGCACTTCATAAAGTGAACAATCTTACTTTCTACTCCAATTTTTCCCCAAACAGAATCAGCGAATGCCAGAGAGCTCCAGTCCTTTCTGGGGTTTTCCCACTTCCTTTCAGAGTTGGGATCGCATCCATCGCTGCCTAAAGTACTGGGGGTGGAGACTGTGCGCACACCCTTGACAATAGTGGTAGAACAGCTGGAACACGGAGACCTGCTGAGCTTCCTGTGGAGGTGCAGACAGGTACAGACTCAGAGAAAAAACTAGATTTCAGATTGCTAAATATGTCATAAACTGGCTTAACAAGTTTAGGTTTCTTTCCTGTTTGACATATTTCCTTTTGAAATAGGAACTTGGGTGTGGACCCAAATGGTATTGCGGAAGGATTATTCTTATCCTAGAGTTAATTTTATTGGACAAAAATGCTAGATGAGATCTGTTTTCCAAGAAAAGAAAGAACAACGTTTTGATTTCATTTGATAATTATAAAATAAGTAAATAATGTTTTTTTAAATGCTTGTATATTTATAATATTTTAAATTATTTAATTGTGTTGCGGCTTTTAATTCACATGTCTGTTAGCGTGTATGCAGAATCTTTATAGACACATTTTATAGAAATAAATATATAACATTTACACTACTGTACAAAAATTTGGGGTCAGCAAGATCAATAATTTTACTCAGCAAGGATGCATTAAATTTATCAAAAGTGACAGTCATTTAAAATTGTACAATTTTTTTTTTTATCACAGTTTAACATGTGACACTGAAGATTGGAGTAATGATGTTTTCCATCACAGGAATAAATTACATTTTAAAATATATTAAAATAGACACAAAAGTTTTTAAAATATAATAATATTTCACAATATTACTGTTTTTACTGTATTTTTAATCAAATAAATGCCTTAGTGAGCATAAGAGACTTCTTTTAAAAAATTATACCGACCCCAAACTATAAATAACCTCAAATCTAACAGACCTGATTTAAAAGCCACAAACGTTTGATATAAACATGACATGTCTTGCAATTACTGTAAAATATTGACATTAAACTCTCTGAATGCATTGATCAGTTATTGAACTAGAGGTGACCTGCGAATGAATGATGTAGAGGTTGTGTCATTATTACCGATGATCTCATTTGTAATGGATTGATTAAAAGTCAAACTGTAAGTTTAAACCTCACCTTTGTTTTGACAGACTGTAACTCTCTTTCACAGGACCACACAGGTCAGGCAGCACCGTGTGACATGACTGAAAAACGAATCTTTACCATGGGCGCTCAGATTGGATCTGCTCTGGTTAGATAACAAATCAGCTTGCAAGATATATACAATCATATTGACAATTCAGTTAAATCATGAAAGCCTGCCAATGTATAAAAGCATATAAATGAATGGAGAGTTTTTATGAGCCACTCAATGCATGCAGCTCATACTGTCAACTTCATAAATCAAAACGAGCCCTTTACTTTGTTTGACTCTGGCATGCATTAATCATGGACAGTCATGAGCACTGGAGCATTTATGATTTTACAATGTAAAATAAATATATTGTCACACCCAAGATCAAATGTTCTTGTTTTGACACAACCGGTCTTGATATTCCAGGAGTATCTGCATAGTAAGAATCACATCCATGGCAATGTGAGGGCTCGAAGTGTCCTGGTTGGTCAAGACCTGTCGGTCAAGCTGTGGGGTTTGGGTCCGGCATATCGCAGGCAATTGAGTGCAGGCTCTATAAAAGATGTGGAAGATATGGAAATGAGAAAGTGGCAAGCACCAGAGGTGTTGGGACAGCAACCTCTCCAACAAAGCAGTGACATGTGAGTTTACTTTCAGTCAAAGTTTTCTCAATGTTTCTCTGTCAATGATCTCTTTACATTGTATTCATTTCTATTTAATCCTCCATAGATGGTCCTTTGGCATTTTGCTCTATGAGATGGTGACTTTAGGTGAGTGTGCCTGTCATTAAATAAGACAATAATCACTCTTATTAATAGAGAAAGCTACAGTTTCATGGTTCCACTTCTATGAAAAAAAAAAACCCCAAACAAATTGGTTAAGTTGTCTAAAGCTTTTTTTTACCTCTTTGTTTCTAAACTCAGGAGATCCCCCCTTCCCCAACATCATGGCCAGGGAACTTCTGCAGCATTTCCAGAGAGAGAACACAATAACCAAACCCCCCAACTGCTCCAATACACTGTACGTCACTTTATCCTCACACATAAACAATTTTATGTAAAAAGCGTATGGTTCTACCATAGACTTCTACTGTTTTTAGATAAAGCTAATTATAAATATGATAGACTCACCCTAACCATGCAAACACTACCCCTAAAAGAAAATTAATATTTTTCATTAATATTATTATTATATTCTAGGATATTTTATACTATAGTATACCTCTCCACGCACATACAGATACCTTTAACTCTAGAGGAAAACTCTAGACCTTTTTCTCTTGAAGAAATCTCCACAATGCCTCCCAAAGACTGATATTAAAAGTCAAAAACCTCATTATGAACTCAAACATTTCTCATCAAATTCCCAAATTAATGGTCCACGTCGATTTTGTTGCTCCATACAAATATACTACATATGTAAACAATTTTGTCATTTTCAGATACATTTCTTCTAAGACATTTCAGGACAAAACATCTAAAACAAACAAATAAATGAAACATAACTGAGATCTCTATTAAAGGGATAGTTCACCCAAAAAGTACAATTCTGTCATCATTTACTCACCCCCAAGTTTCTTCTGCTGAACACAAAAGACGATAATTATTTGAAAGAATACGGGTAACCAAACAGTTGATGGGGCCCAATGACTTCCATATGGAGGGGGGAAAATGACAGTGGAAGTCAATTCGCCTTTGGCTAAGCCCCGCCCCCCTTAGTTACTGTTGCTACGTCTGACAAACAAACTTCATCTGGGCTCTGGTATCAACATGGCTTATGCTGTGACAGCTCTTCCTGCTGAAATTTTATCAAACTTTTATAAAGCGGCAAATAAAGTGTACGATAGAAGTAGGCAAAAGGGGCTGCAATATACGTTCGAAGGCTATATTCACGACATACAGGTGAAACGCAAGGAACAACAAGGCATCCAAATAGAGGCAAAAGCATACCGGTCACAGTCAAAAAATTAACCACCGCATATCCTACTAATCGAGACGGAGGCTGGGACTAACAATATCAAGGAGCAACACTGTTCATGCAAAGCTGGGTAGGTCTATTCACTTCTATAATCGTTATTACAAAGCAAACGGACTACGCGAGTATAACGTTGTATTTATTAGCAGCGTGTGCTAGACGACACTTGTCAGGATTTGACTTCGGTTTGGGAAGGGAAAAAAACTGACACCCCCCTCCAACCTCTCTGGGAAACGCGTATCTGTGTTACAAATGGCCCAGGCACAACGTTTAACCATATTTTTGATAAAACTACGACGGTAATAGCCTGCCGAGACCAAAAATATGAGACGCCTGTGTTAAAGTCAATGGAGCACTGTGAAAAAGTGTCGGACCTCTGTGGGAGCTCGTTCTTGGCTGCGCTGTGATTGGTCAATCTACATTCTAGGGTGTGGCTTAGCCAAAGGCGAATTGGGGCCAATCAACTGGTTGGTTACCGACTTTCTTCAAAATATCTTACTTTGAGTTTAGCAGAAGAAAGAAATTCATACAGGTTTGGAACAACTTGGGGGTGGGTAAATGATGACAGAATTGTACTTTTTGGGTGAACTATCCCTTTAAGTCTCCTGAGAGGGACTCGCTATAAAAACAACAACTTCTGAGCAATAGTTCTATATTAAAGGACAACTATGTGATCAGACACTGTCTAAACTGTAAACTTATTAGTCAACACTAATCTATTTTATTCTGATGGCCACTATAATATGAACTAACAAAGTGACATTTGTTCTCTAGATATTCTATTATCGAGTCCTGCTGTCGGTGGAAACCAAAGAAGCGAGTCTTATTGGCTGAGCTGATCAGAAAGCTTCAATCAGGAGAGAGAAGCGCCAATGATCAGGCAGTGCTGCGAGTGTCTGAGCCGCTGGACATGGAGAAATACATGCGTGAAGCGGGCTATGGAGACTCCTTCAACTCTGCTGCCATCTAATGTTCCTTTTATGTGTCACTTAACTGTGACAGATAGTAACACACCACTGTCAAATTTAAAGAACACTATCACCTCATAAAGCCTGTGTTATTCAGGACGTTACATTGGATAAAGCTTAATTGTAACGCAAATGAGAAGATACAGTATGTAATGTAGAATATTCACAAGTTGGAAGATTGTGTCATAGCAGGCCTACACATAAATATGCAGCGACAAAAGCTCGAATGTAAAGTGTGTTAGCAGCATAATGAATGCATCAAATTAAATTCACTTGGTCCAGAGTGTAAAAAAAAACACACGCACCCACAAACAAATTGTGTCTAGTAGCCTACTGGTGGTATTACGATTTAATTTACCATTATATTTATTTGGGATGGAATGGATTATATATCGTACCATTATGATCGGTATTCCTCTAATTCAAATAATAAGACTTTAAGTTATATTATTGTTATATTTATTGGTAACTCGAGTTTATTGTTTATTAAAATACACTGTATTTATTAATGTTTTTTTTTTTTCACTATTTACTTTTGTCATCATTAGTGCACATTCGTAATGGTCACCGGCTTAAAACAAAACTGTAAAAAATGTGGTTTTCCACTTACTTGAACATCTTGAATCCCGGGAGACTGCAGAGGCTATATAATTACCCTTCAATAATTTGGATTTTGTCTAAATATGAAAATTTCTCTTACCTGTCGTTAACCAGGAGCAGGATTAATGACGCATTATTAGAGTGATCTGATTGGCTTCAAAGGTCATCTTTGATTATGATTGGTTAGTCGGACTGACGCAAACGGATGCAAATGACCCTGCCTAATTTGAATATCCACTTTTTTCCTTGCTAACCTGATTTGAAAGGGGTCCGTGAACCTTCGGACAATTTATCCGAAGATACACAGTCCGAAAGAAATATACTGATGATTATGGACATCTGTTTTATGCACATTGGTAAATCGGATGTAGGCCTATACTATTAACTGTATTTAGGAAACAGGCGAACAAAGTAATTTAGACTATTTATTCACAAAATAATACAACAACTGTACACAGTAGCCTACCACTCATGATTTTGATACACATTCAGGAAAAGCCACCATAAAATATACAAATGTCAAAACATCAACCTTTCTGTTTAGCACACTCTTTTTGACTTGCAATTACATCAATTACACCATTCAACACAGAAACATTAACCTAGGTATTTACAGGGTGATGCTCTTCTTACTCTGTACAGTAAGCAACTATGTGTTGTGTACATTATGCACAGTAAAGGTACAGTATGTGAAAGGCATTAACAGTTATTAAGATGGTTGTCTTAGTTAGTGTTAGAAGAGGGCTGGGTCAATGTAAAGCTGCTCTGGAGCGCTGGAATACAACCGCAGTGCACTACTGCCAGAGGAATGTTGTCTTTCTTGCACTTTTTTTTTTTTTTTTAGTTTCTCTCTGTGCAACACATACGTGATCACAAAACACAGGAGTGGGAAAAGCAGTTCTTCATATTACCCCTGGCCAATAAAGGTGCTTATTAATAAATACTTTCACATTGAATATCTAGACAAAAATAGTAACACATAAGCGATGGCAGCATAAAGCATCTATCAATTCGACTTACATGATAGAAATTATTGACAAAGTAAAAAATAAATATAAATAAATACAGTATATGCTCTCTTGGAAAGGGACTCAAACAAAGTGTCGGAAAGTGCATAACTACAGTCAGACGTTTATTTAAATCAAGTGAGACTTCTCTCACTACTCTGTCAAACCTCAAAGTGAGTCAGTGCAGCACATATGTAACGCTGGTACACTAAAACACAGGAAATTCAATAGCATTATTAATGGTCATAATCTAGCAAACTTCCTCCCTGATCACATCATTTGCTAAAAATCTTTATCGCGGATATCTGAAATGTGGACATGTCTGGTTATTGATGGCGTATACAGTACAATTCATTGAACACCGGTCAGTCCTTTTGCGTCCTCTACAATGCAACCTTTACTGTGATTTTAGATGAATGAGTGACTTTTTTATCTGAAGTTTTTTTCTTTAAATGTATTATTTTTGGCAGTAAACTAGCGATTTTATTCTTGGCATAAGCTTTATTAGCTAAGCACTTCCTATAAATATAAATATTGTTAATTAATCTTCTAATTAAATAGATGTTTTAAGTGTTTTGGATAAATGGTAGTAGTGATTTGAAGTAATGAAAACGTATATATCTGTATATACATTATATATCATACAAAATGAACATCGTCAGTGCAAAAACCTTTAGATTATAATGATCACCAACTATCATTCCAAGGAAAAACACTTTGGTTTTTCTAAAAGCAAGAAACTGAGGTTTGACAGTTGAAAATGGTGAGTGAATTATGTATTAATTATGTAATATTATGTAATAATTCCCTTTTTCAGTTCGATTTGATATTGGAAACTGTCCTATTTGATAATTCACATTAAAACTGCACAAAAAACTCACAAACAGGAATAAATGAGCAATAAAAGGATAAAACCATTAAAACGAATCAATATTGCACCAAACCATCAATTGTCAAACTACACAATAATATAAGCTCATGTGCTATGAGCTCTCGTATCCTTTCATAGAGGTGATCTGTAACATTCCAATGTGGTTCTGTTCTTAATCTGTTTACCCTAAATAATCTCTTTTCAGTAAATAACCTCTAATATTATATTTCTATCTTCAGTGATACATGTCATGGCTTTAATCATATTTAGCTATATAGTTACACTATTTTTTAGATGGTGGAATTATTTTTCTCCTCTTTACTAGAATCTACCAGTGGCTGGGTAACTGAGCTAGGTTTCCCTTCCACCTTTGCGGCATCAGATGAGCTGGGCCCATGTTCTGTGGAAGATTTGGAAGCTGCCACCAACGGGACTTTCTCTTTGACCGGAGAGGCGGGAAGTGCGAGTCTGCCTGGCTCCTCCACAGAGGTGGCAGCCGGAGGCGGAGACCCACTAAAACCACAGGCGATCTCATCGAAAGTTCGCCCTTTGGTCTCTGGAACTTTGAAGTACGTAAAGATGAAGAAGAAGATGAGGAAGATCATGAATATAATGAAGACATATGGCCCACACAGCTCCTGTAATTCACAAAGAAAAAAGTTAATTCTGATATTGTGCACACATTTTAACACAAAATAAGATTACAATAACCCTAGTCATGTGATAAAAATATATTAAAATAGGGAAATTATTTCAAAACTTTATTATAATGGGTTAGATTAAAGTTATTTTAAATTTCATAAAGTTCATAGATGAGGGATTTAAAAAAAATCTATGAATGTTTAATTGGAAAGTTGGTTCTCTTTCATAGGTTCACTCAACGCTGCGGAAAGCGCAGTCGGATATCCTCTGGATGTGCCGATTGCCTGAAGCCCTATAGAATCACGCCAATTCATTGGCTGATGGCGCTCACGCAAAGCTGGCTCCGCCCCGACGCTCTTACGTCGTAGCATGATGAACGCGCGCGCGCCATCCTCTCCTCAGATTTCTCTGCCCTACACGAAGCGGTCACATCTTGCACATCGTTCGGTTTTTCTGAGCCCGAATTCTTCAAATTCAACTTCAGCTTTCATCTCGACACTTCAGCGACTGGTATAAGTGGAACTCTGTTCTCCTTACAGTGAAGTGTCATGGATTATCGACGCTGCTCTCCGCCATGCGTTCGTTTTATCTCGAACAACGACCCTCACAGTAAGTGTGTTAAATGTATGGGTTTTTCGCATGCGCGTGAGGCTGTATTAGGATTGTCAAAATGTAAATTTTGTGACAATCTCCTTCTCAAAACCCTCCGCTCTAGACTCACGGTTTTTGAGAAGGAGTCATTCGTTCCCCCCTGTCGCGCTCCCGAGACTGCTGGGCTCGGATGTTGAGCTCGAGGATATTGAGTACGAGCAGACGGGCCTCGCCCTTTCTCTCCCTCCCTCTCGCGAGCACGCACGTGGCGCGGTTGAATTCGCGCATGATTATTTATGCCCCAGCCCGGGAGCCCGTGAATCGGTTTCTTTCGGTCTGGATGACGTGATTTACACTGCAGCCTCCGACTCCGAGGATTTCGGGCCTGCTTTGGCTGATGACGTTATCCCGCCTAGCGGCCAGGACACGCGGCCTACTCCGGCCTACACTGAGCTTATTGACGTGCTGTCGCGCGCTACAGAGAAGCTCTCTATTGACTGGCCTGATGAGCCCCGCGAGTCTCAATCGTCCAAACTCGACGAGAGGTTCCTACGTGGCCCTAATTCTAGGCCAGAGCGAAGAAAGCTGCCCCTTTTCAGTGATCTGCATCACGAGATCTCCAGATCCTGGAAGCAGCCTTTCTCCGCACGCCTAACTAATGCGGCAGCCGCTGACTTCACCAACCTTGTGGGTTTTGTGGAGCAGGGTTATTCCGCTATTCCAGCGGTCGAGGACACGCTGGCTTACCACCTCGCCCCATCGTCTGCACCGTCCTGGAAGGCGCGTCCCCTTCTTCCTTCCAAGGCTTGTAGGACTACTTCCTCCCTTATTGGGAAGTCTTACATGGCGGCTGGTCAAGCAGGCATGGCCCTGCATACCATGACCATCCTTCAAGCCTACCAAGCGGACGTCTTGAAGGACATGGATGAAGAAGAGGGACTGACGCCCGAAGCTGTCAAAGAGCTTCGCAAAGCCACAGATCTGGCCCTAAGAGCCACCAAACTCACTGCTCGGGCTGTAGATCCGAGACAAGGATAAGAGTTTCCTCCTGGATGCCCCTATCTCCCACTCAGGTCTTTTCGGGGAGGCGGTCAACACGGTGGTTGAGAAGTTCCGCACCGCTAAGTCTCAGTCAGCCGCGTTCAGGCAGTTTATGCCCAGGAGGGTCAGAGGGCCAAGAGACTCCAACCCTCCCCCTTCTCAAACCCGAGAACGCTCTGCTCATAGGGCTGAATTCCCTACTAGCAGGAGTGACCCGGCTCACCACCCACCAACTACGGTCTGGGGAGCCCGAGGTCGTCCATTTCCCCGCCAGTGCCCTCACAAGCGCCTTCAGCTGAAGCGGTCCAACAAATCGGCCGCTCCAGCCTCCTCGAGCCGTTCCTGACCCGCAGGTCAGAAGGAGGAGAGCCTTACCAGATCTACGAGGTTGGGACAGACCGCGCAAGCGTTTCTGCCCTCCTCCAGCCGGCTCTCCTCATCCAACCCTGTCACCTTCGCCACCCAGCGTGTTTCGAAGTGCAGGTCCTGTTTCACTCTCTTCACCCAGTCCGGCGCAGGAGGAAGGAGACGCGTCTTGCTGTCTCGCCTCGCTCCCGGTGCACGTTACACCCGCCAATCGCTTCCTCGGAGACACAGTTCGTTTTCCTCTGGAGCAGGCGGACCCAGTTACTTCTATCCAGGTGGTGGTACCCCCCAGTACGTGTCAGGACGCCAAGCGCTCTCCTCCACGGTCAACCGCACCTCCCCATGGGAACCAGCGCGACACCCTACCTCAGGTATGTCCCTTGCACTGCAATACTCCTCTCCCTCTATCACATTTCGTTCAAGAATGGGAGCGTTTACCAGGGGTATCGCCTTGGATCCTTCGCACAATTCGGCTCGGCTACACGCTTCAGTTTTGTCGCAACTCCCCCTGCTTCAACGGGGTCTTTCCTACTGTAGTCGAAAGCGCCGCTCAGGCTTCTGTACTACAGCAGGAGATTTCATCCCTTCTGTTGAAGGGGGCGATAGAAGAGATTCCTTCGGGGGAAGTCGAACAGGTCTTCTACAGCCGTTACTTCCTGGTCCCGAAGAAGGGAGGCGGCCTGCGGCCGATACTAGATCTTCGCCGGTTGAATTTCTCTCTTTACAAAGGGAAATTCAAAATGTTGACGCTGAAGGCCATCATATCTCATATCCGGCTGGGGGACTGGTTCGTGACAGTAGACCTCAAGGATGCTTATTTCCACATCCAGGTCGTACGGCGACACAGGAAGTTCCTCAGGTTCGCCTTTGGAGAAAAAGCGTACCAGTACAGGGTCCTCCCCTTTGGCCTTGCTCTAGCGCCAAGGACGTTCACAAAGTGTATGGATGCTGCTCTGGCCCCGCTGCGGCTCCAGGGCATCCATATACTCAACTACCTGGACGATTGGCTCCTTTTAGCCCACTCCAGAGAGTTGGTGACTCACCACAGGGACATTGTGCTCCGTCATATTCAGTCTCTCTGTTTGAGGTTCAATACGGAGAAGAGCGTTCTTACTCCAGCTCAGAACACGGTTTTCTTGGGGGTACGCATGGACTCCGTTCTTATGCAGGCCCGTTTGGCTCCTGCACGGATTTCCAGTCTGGTGACATGTCTGTCCCGCTTTGCACTAGGCCAGCATGTTTTCCGTGAGCACCTGCCGCAGACTTCTGGGCCTTATGGCCGCGGTCTCCCCTGTGCTTCCTCTGGGGCTACTCCACATGAGACCTTTTCTGTGGTGGATGAAGCTCTCAGGGGCTCGGCCCACGGGGCCAGCCCTTCGCCTATTGAAGGTGTCGCGCAGTTGCTTTCGCGCCCTGTCAATCTGGCGGGACCCCCTCTTCCTTCAGAAAGGAGTCGGTATGGGTGCGGTATTCCGTCGCCAGATGGTTACGACGGATGCCTCTCTGACCGGCTGGGGAGCGGTTTTCGAGGGCAGGCCAGCGTGTGGGGTTTGGACTGGCGAGACCCTCTCATGGCACATAAACAGCTTGGAGCTGAGGGCTGTCTTCCTGGCTCTTTGCCACTTTCTCCCTTTCCTCGAAGGACACCATGTCATTGTCAGAACGGACAATATGGCAGTAGTGTCCCATGTAAACAGACAGGGGGGTTCACGATCGCGCACCCTAGACAGGCATGCGCGTCACCTTCTCCTGTGGTCCCAGGACAAGTTCCTCTCTCTGAGAGCAGTTCATGTCCCAGGGATTCTGAATCTCGCAGCAGATTTTCTGTCGAGGCAGAAGCTCAGGTCTGGGGAATGGATGTTGAACAGCCAGACGGTGGCCCTGATCTGGGAGGTGTTCGGGAAAGCGGAAGTGGACCTCTTTGCATCTCAGGAGTCGTCCCAATGCCCGCTTTGGTTCTCTCTGAGCCCTCCAGCTCCGTTGGGGATAGATGCGTTCGCCCACCCTTGGCCGATGCAGAAACTGTATGCCTTCCCGCCCATCAAGCTGATTCAGGCGGTTCTGTCCAGAGTGAGGGAGAGCGGAGTCCGCCTCCTTCTGGTAGCCCCATTCTGGCCGTCCCAGCCATGGTTTTCGGAGCTGATCCCTCTGTTGGAATCCTCCCCCTGGGAGATCCCGGTCAGGGAGGACCTGCTTTCCCAGCTTCAGGGCAGGATATGGCATCCTCGCCCCGACATTTGGAAGCTGTACGTTTGGCCTTTTAGAGGCCGTTAGCTTTAAGCTTTGATCTCCCAACCGACGTTCAGGAGACCATTGCGAATGTAGTAGGCTCAGTAGGCTCAGTGCTGGAATTCCTGCAGGAAAAGTCCGGAGCGGCCGCTACCACTCTCAGAGTATATGTCGCAGCTATAGCCGCTCATAGAGAATCAGATGAGATTCCCTTGGGGAAACTGAGGTTAGTTTCGGCCTTCATGCGTGGGGTTAGGCGCCTGAAACCGGCTCGCCCCCCTAGTGTTCCCTCGTGGGACCTGTCAGTCGTCCTGGAGGGTTTGACAGAGGCTCCCTTCGAGCCCTTGGAGTCAGCCCTTGAGCGGATTCTGACTCTTAAGGTTGCTCTTTTGTTAGCTTTATCTTCACTAAAGCGGATGGGGGATTTGCAGGCTCTCTCTATTAGTGAGTCATGCTTGGACTTGGCTCCTGGCCTGATTAGGGTTACCTTGAGGCCGAGGTCGGGGTATGTACCCAAGATTCTTTCCACGGCGTTCCGCTCTCAGGTTGTTAACCTTAATGCTTTCCACCCTCCTCCTTTTGCCTCTGAGGAAGAAAGGAAACTTACTTGCTCTGCCCGGTCCGTTCTTTGAAGTTGTATGTAGATCGCTCAGGCGGTTGGAGGAAATCAAACCAGCTCTTGGTATGTTTTGGTGCTGGCCGCCGCGGGCTTGCAGCATCAAAGCAGAGGATTTTCCACTGGGTAACGGACGCTATTTCGCTGGCTTACGAGGTGCGTGGTTTGCCTTCACCTCTTAGCATCAGAGCACATTCCACCAGAAGTGTGGCTTCCTCTCAAGCTCTCTTTAGAGGGGCCCTCTTGGAAGACATTTGTGTGGCGGCAGGTTGGTCCTCTCCGCACACCTTTGTGAGGTTCTATAATTTAGATCTTGACATGACTCCAGGTTCCCAGGTTCTATCTGCTTGAACCTATCATGGTTGTTATTATTATTTGGTCTGGTACCAGTCATGGCAGCGCTTAGCTTGGCAAGTTTGGTATTTCGTTCCCACTGCGCTTTCCGCAGCGTTGAGTGAACCTATGAAAGAGAACGTCTCTGGTTACTTACGTAACCTTTGTTCTCTGAATAGGGAACGAGAAGCTGCGTTCGCTGCCAAGCTCCTCGCGCTGCCGACAGTTTTTCTTTTCGGCAGAGAAATCTGAGGAGAGGATGGCGCGCGCGCGTTCATCATGCGACGACGTAAGAGCGTCGGGGCGGAGCCAGCTTTGCGCGAGCGCCATCAGCCAATGAATTGGCGTGATTCTATAGGGCTTCAGGCAATCGGCACATCCAGAGGATATCCCACTGCGCTTTCCGCAGCGTCTCGTTCCCTATTCAGAGAACATAGGTTACGTAAGTAACCAGAGACGTTTTCCATACAAAATTATTCATAGTTTTACTTTAAAAACAATACAGTAGTTTTAAGTGGTTAACATAACGGCAATTGATTTTAATGGTGCAGTAAGCAATTTTTTGAAAAAACACTGTTGAAAAGTGGATCAGGCCGAGCACCAAAACACACTTGTAGCCAATTAGCAGTAAGGGGCGTATACACGCATGGTGGGGGAGAAAAGAGAGCTCAGTGTACAAGACAGACACCAGCAGAACAACTATAAAAAGAGAGAGATGGCAAAAACAGTGGAACAATGGAAAACACAAAAGAGAAAAAGGCCAGGGGAATATAACTTTAAAAAGAAGGGTTACAACCAGGCAAGAAGAAGGACCCACATTGATATGGAAGAAGCTTGGAGAGACCTAAGTATGAAGGCCTGAAAACAGACGCAGAGGTTTTTCTTCTCGATACGTGAGTAACGTTGGTTTTGCTGTGTTTAACAGAACTAAGATATGCTTTCTTTAGCTTGAATATACTCGAGTGTCATCTTTGCTTGTTTGTTCATTTGCACTTGCACATTTGTTTTTTGGGATGGAAGGGTTGACTTTGCCATCAAAAGAATAGAGGAGCTAAATAACAATTAGACATTCGACCTAAATTATCATAGTAGCACAAATTGCTTTCATTTATTTATGACATCATACCCTTGGGCGACAGTCACATCGGCAGATTCCTCTATAGCTGTTGTCTGTGTTGCATATCGTGTACATGAATGAGGGGGTGGAGGCATCAAGATAAGGGTGTGATCCTTATGGGTAGGGGCGTGTTTGTTTTGGTGATTTCAAATATCAACAGCGTTTACCAGAAATCGCTTACTGCACCTTTAAAAGGCAATCTAAATTAAACTCACCTCCAATTTAGGGAAGCTGACTCCCACAAGGAAGTTGGCTGTCCAGTTGGAGCATCCTGCAACGGCCATGGCAGCAGGACGTGGCCCCTGGGAGAACAGTTCAGCCACTATGAACCAGGGAATAGGTCCAGGGCCCATCTCGAACATGGCAACAAAGCCAAAGACTGCAGCAATGCTGAGGTAGCGTAGAGACTCAATGTCCTTCTGCTCAGGGACAAAGGTAAGAAAACATAGGTATGACATTAACATTCCCATGATGGCCAGATATTAACAGGGCCTGTTTTGAATCTGTAGCAAAATGAAAACAGACAGAAGGACCCACCAATAAGAGAGCGATTGTCATGGCCAAGGCACTGATGGCCATTCCACCCAAACCAATAAGGTGCAAAGTTCTCCGTCCCGCTCTCTCCACCAAGAATAGCTTTTAGAAAAGGATCAAATGAAAGTATTAACACATCACATTTACAATACACATAGATTTCTCATAAAGTTAAATAATTAAATACTTACAGATACTACAGTAAAGACAGTGTTTACTACTCCGGCTCCGATGGTGGCGTAAATGGGCTGAGTCACTCCGGCCGACTCAAAAATACCAGTTGAGTAATAAAATACCTTGGAGAAACAGGAAGAAAAGGCAAAATGGTTAACTAAAGAATGTAAAGTTACAGTAAAATGAGAACACAATTGCATATTAAACATTAATTTTCATTTGAAAGCCACAGTTTTCCATCTTAAAAATATATCTAAATTACGACACATGCTCTCAATGACAAATGCAGAAAAGTGATTTCACGTGTTCATGACCTCAAGGCTAGATTATTGTAATGCTCTACTGGGTGGTTGCCCTGTACGCTTAATAAACAAACTCCAGCTGCGCCAAAACGCAGCAGCTAGAGTCCTTACTAGAACCAGGAAATATGACCGTATTAGCCCGGATCTGTCAACATTGCATTGGCTCCCTATTAAACATCGCATGCATTTTAAAATCTTGCTGATTACTTACAAAATACTAAATGGCTTAGCTCCTCAGTACTTGAGGGAGCTCTGAACACATTATAGTCCTTCACGTCTATTGCGATCTCAAAATTCTGGCCAGTTGATAATATACAAAGAATATCAAAATCAACTGCAGGTGGTAGATCTTTTTCCTATTTAGCAGAATTAGCACCAACACTCTGGAATAGTCTTCCTGGCCTTGTACGGGAGGCAGACACACTCTGTCAGTTTAAATATAGAAACACATCTCTTTAACCTGGCATACACATAACACATTATAAATTTCTATTATTCAATCCCCTGTGAAGGCCTCATCGACATGACAGCCACAGCACAGATCCTCAGCAAATACCACAAGAACCAGACAGGTCGTCCGCACAGACCCTATGGCCAGCTTTGGCTCCATGTCAGCGTGATGAATCGATCTTCAAGCAAAAGGAACTGGATGAATATTTGAATGCTACTGATCCCGATCTGAATTCTGACTTGTGATGCAGCCTGAATCATATTCACACCATGTCCGTTCGTTGGCCAGAGGAGAACTGCCCCCCCGACTGAGCCTGATTTCTCCCAAGTTTTTTTCCCCTCCATTCTGTCACCTGATGGAGTGTGAGATTCTTGCCACTGTCGCCTCTGGCTTGCTTAGTTTAGTTGGGGACACTTAATATTCAAAAATACTATTGATCTGACTGTACTGACGCTGTTGTATGAGAACTGAACTGAGCTGGACGATGACATACTTTTTTTGCAAAACTGCTTTATAGATGAAATGAACTAATTTAATAATGATGATGTTTACAACAGAACTGAATCAACACTGAACTGACTTCAGCTGAACAACAGCCGAAATGCATAATTTTTCTGTTATCACTGTAAAGCTGCTTTGAAACTATCTGTATTGTAAAAAGCGCTATATAAATAAAGTTGACTTGACTTGACTTGACATTTGGCAGTCCAATCAAATAATGAGTTTTAAAGTGGATGTTAAAAATCATGGTCGATATCCCAGATCACTTGTCACACTCGAAATATAATGTAAATTCCAGCACATTCCATTTTGGGATATTGTGGAGTGCTTTGTTTGAAAGTTTAGTAGGACATCCTACTAAAACATTCAAATATTTACTCAGTTCACAAAGTATGCATATTATGAACAATATACACATCCTGTACATTGTTTTATATTCAAAATAGTAGGTAGTATGCAAATGCATTTAAGTAAATTATGTCACTCACAGCATTGATGCCAGAGAGCTGCTGGGACAGCTGCAGCATGACAGCGATGAGTAGAGGCTGGCGGTAAGCAGGAATGCGGAAGAGCTCTGGGATGGTCACCTTCTTCTCCATGGCCATCTTCGCACTCTCTTCCTTCATCTCCTGCATGTCCTTCCCAACATCCTCATAACCACGGAGACGCACCAGTGCTGGGGGACAACATAATGGAGGTTTGGTGACTTACCATAGAAATCTAATCTTTCTATTTATTCCTGTGATGGTAAAGCTGAATTTTCAGCAGCCATTATTCCAGTGTTCAGTGTTACATGATCCTACAGAAATCATTCTAATATGATGATTTAATGCCCAGGAAACATTTCATATTATCAGTTTTGAAAACAGTTGTGCTGCTTAATATTTTTGTGGAAACAATGAAACGTCTCGGTTACGTATGTAACCCTCGTTCCCTGAGTGACGACGAAATGGGGGTTTCGCTTAGAAGCCTATCACTTTCGAGTGTTAAAAAACGAGCCAATGGCAAAGAAATGCCACGGGTCTGCGGAATTTGCATAGCGTAACTCCGCCCCACCTCGTGGGTATATAAGGAAGAACGCTGGCAGAATGCAGACATGTTTCCCTGCTGAGGAGCCAAGACTGAGCTTGGCGTTCCTGCGGAACAGCGAAGGTGGAAGGAAGACGTAACGTCTCCGTTCCCTACTCAGGAAACGAGGGTTACATACCGTATTTTCCGCACTATTAGTGCACCGGATTATAAGGCGCACCTTCAATGAATGACCTATTTTAGAACATTTTTCATATATAGGGCGCACCGGATTATAAGGCGCATAAGATACTGCAGTCAAACGTTTGACTGGGTTTGCGTTATGCATCCACTAGATGTGCTAAAGGGAATATCAACAAAACAGTCAGACAAAGTCAAACTTTATTAAGCATTCTGACAACTCCGTTCACTCCCATGTCGTTGTTCAAACGTTAAAGGAGAACTCCGGTCAATTTTAACATTGAGCTCATTTTTTTGTAAATTTGGAGTGCTGTCAGTACAGATAACAACGACAAAAACCGACCGTGTTATCCTCTTTTTAAAATTCGCACCCTGTTGATTTAAACGGGGCAAGTTTTAAACCTACTTTTAGCCTCTTAACAACCTTAATGTGTCATTACAAGTGCACAGCCATGTGAGTGAACACGGTGAATCTGACTGCAGTAAATGTGAAAGATATGAATAAAAATTATGTTTATTCAGCCAGCTCACATACCCGTATTTTCTTCTGTCGAAGTCCACAGTAGTCGATTGTCGAGTGCGCGCGCGCGATCATTGGTAACTAAGCAACAGTGGAGACTCAGACTGTCAGCTGTCAGCCGATGACGGTGCTGTGTGGTGTTCTGAGAATATCAGCTCAAATGGATAGTTCATCCAAATCAGATGTTGAACACACGGAGGAGGTTTGATCGCGCGCGCGAACTCGACAATGTGGACATAACAGCTAATCTGGTACTGTGGACATCGACCGAAAACAGGAAGTAAATGCGGGTATGTGGGCTGGCTGAATAAAGAGATTATTCCTGCTTTCGTGAAAGCTCGGATCACAGTTGAGACTGATATATCAGCCCAGGCATCCACGATCCATTGGCAGATAGTGGCGTAAGTCGCCCGGCGCTGTCTCCCCGTCTTGGTGAACGTGTGTTCACCATCCATATATAAGGCGCTCCGGATTATAAGGCGCACTGTCGTTTTTTGAGAAAATTAAAGGCTTTTAAGTGCGCCTTATAGTGCGGAAAATACGGTACGTAACCGAGACGTTCCCTTTCGTAGTCAGGAGTTACGTCGAATGGCGACGAAATGGGGGTACCAGTCTAATCACGCCACCTCTCGGCTGTCTTCCAGTGCCCTGCGTAAGTGTGAGCTCCCTGTCGTGAGACTGGCACGGACGAAGGACTCCCACTTAACACAGGATTACCAAGATACACTGGGAAGCATATCTCAGTAGAGATAAGCAACCATGCCCGCCCGAAGGGAGGTCTTAGGAATACACGTATGGCCCGAGAGGGGGTAGCATACGGAAGAACACTGGAGTGTCCAGCCAGTAGGGTGGAATCTTTCAACTCCAGGAGTGGCAAGGTGGTTTGCAGAGGGAAAGACACATGCTCAAGGAGGCTTACAGTGGAAATACACACGTGGGGGTCACCCAGTGGGGGGACCATGCACATGGAGGCACCTAGCCAACTGCGAAAGCTGCCGGGGGCATAACCTTGGCGTTGAAGTCAACAGTGCGGGAGGAACTTAGGGCTTCTCGGGGAAACTCAACTGAGGAGAATGTCGCACGTATCCAGTCCGTGAAGTGGAATGGCGAGCAAGCGAAGACACCTGAGCGGATCCTGGTTACTGGCTAGTTGAAGCGAGTACACGAGAGGACTGAGTTCCACTGAGCTCCACTAAAACCACTGAGAGGTCCCAAGAGGGTACGAGAGGAGGACGGGAAGGATTCAGTCTCCTCGCTCCTCTCAAGAACCTGATGACCAGGTCGTGCTTCCCAATGGACTTACCCTTAACTGCAACATGATGTGCGGCGATAGCGGCAACATAAACTTTCAGGGTGGAGGGAGACAGCCTTCGCTCCAACCCTTCTTGCAGGAAGAAAATCACGACACTGATCATGCATATCGTGGGGTCTTCTCGGTGAGAAGAGCACCAGTTGACGAAGAGGTTCCACTTCAATGCATAGGCATGTCTCGTGGACGATTCTCTAGCGCAAGTGATGGAAGCCACCACCGCTAGTGGTAGGGTACTCAAACCTACCTCGTCCCGTCCAGGAGCTACACGCGTGGAAGTTCCAAAGATCGGGTTGAGGGTGCCATAGGGTGCCCTGTACCTGAGAAAGTTGGTCCTTCCTCAGAGGAATTGGCCAGGGAGGTGCTGTCGCGAGGAGTACAAGTTCGGAGAACCAGGTCCGGGTGAGTCGGTGGGGCGCAACCAAAATGACCTGCTCCTCGTCCTCCCTGATCTAGCACAGGGTCTGTGCGAGAAGGCTCACTGGGGAAAACGCATACTTGCGGAGGCCCTGCGGCCAGCTGAGCGCCAGTGCATCCGTGCCGAGCGTGCCCTCAGTCAGGGAATAAAACAGGCTGCAATGGGAAGAGTCGTGGGAGGCAAACAGATCTACCTGAGCGTCCCCGAACTGTTCCCAAATCAGCTGAACCGACTGGGGATGGAGTCGCCATTCGCCGGAGAGAGGCTGAATCCGTGAGAGCTCGTCGGCTGCACAGTTCAGGTCTCCTGGAATGTAAATAGTATGAAGCGACCTCAGATGCTTCTGACTCCATAAGAGGAGGTGGCGAGCGAGTTGCAACATATGGCGGGAGCGTAGACCACCCTGACGGTTGATGTACGCTACTGACGCGGTATTGTCTGGACGGACTAGTACGTGCTGGTCTTAGTGCAACACATGGAAGCGGTGCAGAGCCAATTGTACTGCCAGCAACTTCAGGCAACTGACATGCAGAAGGCGCTGGGGTCCTGTCTAGGAGCCCGCGGCAGCATGTAAACTGTACATGGCACCCCAACCCGTGGTGGAGGCATCTGTTGAGACAACAACATGCCTGGAAACTCATTCTAGGGGCACACCGGTCGATCGCTGTAAACTGGCCAGCGGCAAGGAGAGTTTCTCCCCCGGCCCTCCACCAGGGGAAGGAGTGGCCCTGCTACCACCTCCTTGGCAGAACTATAGGCCATCTCTGAGCTGTCCGCATCAGTAAGCGGACTGGGGCGCCTTCTTGCGACCACCTCCGCGGCGCGGCCCGGTAAAGGCTGCTGCTGGGGCCGAGCGGGAGGGATGGAAGTCGCAGGGGGGCGCCCTCGGCGGCGAACAGACTGAGTGAACTGAGTCGGCGGCTGGGTGGCGGCAGCAGCTGGCCGCCGGGGCAGTATGTGCTTAATAGCCTCAGTCTGTCTCTGGGCGGCCGAGAACTTTTGGGCGAAGTCCTTGACCGCGCCGCCGAAAAGGCCTGCCTGGGATATAGGGGAGTCGAGGAGACGTGTCCGGTCGGCATCCAGCATATCGGCCAGGTTAAGGCAGAGGTGTCTTTCCTGGACCATAGCTGTGGACATCACCTGACCAAGGGAGCGTGCGGTCACCTTCGTCGCTCGGAGAGCAAGGTCGGTGGCGGTCCGCAGCTCATCAAAGAGCTCTTGGTCAGCTCTGCCCTCGTGCATGTCCCTGAGCATCCTGGCCTGGTAGACCTGGAGGATGGCCATGGCATGCAGTGAGGCGGCGGCCTGCCCCGCAGCTCTGTAGGAATTGGCCACCAAGGTAGACGAAAACCTACAGGCTTTGGAGTGGTGCTTTGGGTCACCACGCCACATCGAAGCACTCTGCGGACACAGTTGCATCGCAACAGAGCGTTCGACAGGTGGAACCCCAGTGTACCCTTTCCTCATCAAGGGCAGAGAAGGCGGAGGAGGTCGCCAAGCGATCACGGGAAGACAACGGGGACTTCCAGGAGCTCGTGACCTCCTCATGCACTTCCGGGAAGAAAGGAACTGGGGGGTGCGCTGACGAGAGTCAGCGCGTGCAGCCCCCAAGAACCAATCATCCAACCGCGAGCGTTCAGGAGAGGGTGGAGAGTACCACGCTAACCCGACACTCGTGGTGGCCCGGGAAAGCATAGCTGTCAGTTCCGGGTCGGACTCGGACAATGCCGCGACCCCGGGGGCGGCAGCACATCCGAATCCTCATCCACAGAAAATACCAGCTCGCCTTGTGATTCGGCGATCGACATCGCCTCATCATCTGGAGCACCGAATGAGACACGAGGCACATCCGAAGACGGCCCCGCGGCTGCACTCGAGGTGCTCGGGTTGCTGCACTAGAGAGGGGGGTGTGGCCCGAGGACACATCGTCGGGACAGAGTTCCACACCATAACCCTCTGATCACCCTGGCCACCAACCGAAGTACCAGCTCTCGAGGAGGGGGTAGAAAGGGGTGTGGCAGAGGGGACTCTACCTTTAATAAGGTCACGGAGTCTCGATCTTAGCACAGCGATGGTCATGTTCCCGCAGTGAAAACATGACTCATCCATGAAAGCTGCCTTTGCGTGTTCTAAGCTCAAACACGCAAGACAACGATCATGCCCATCAGATAATGAGACGGAACGACCGCACCCAGAAATACACGGGCGAAACATCTTGAA